TCTGCCTTGCAATCCTTTGCATGTGTCTCCCAGCTCTGGACTGCCCTGTCCGCCTCTCGCTTGCAATCCTTTACATGTGTCTCCAGCTCTGGGCTGCTGTGTCCGCCTTGCCTTGCAATCGACTGCTGTATCCACCTTTGCCTTGCAATCCTTATTTGACACGTCTCTCCAGCTCTCGACTGCTATTATTGCAATCCTTTGTCTCCCAGCTCTGGGCGTCGCAAACTCTAGTTGCAGAGTGTTCCGATTGAAAAACACAAACTGTTAGGGGTCTACGGCGGTGCAATTTTCAATTTTTGCAGGGGGCAGAGGGATCTTCAGTCGTAGCCTCTGCCAACGAAGCTCTACGCTGGATGATCAGGTAAACGTACCTGCTTTGGTGCACCTGGGCGCATAAAGACGCAGCTGGTGGCCACCCTTCAGTTCAATATTGGTTCTGCAGACTTGCGCGGAACGTCGTCAACCTGTCATCGCTTTTCGTTTTCGTGCGTTGCCAACTTGAAGCTCTTGAAACCTTCGGAGCCTTTGGGGCTTTCGTAACTCACCTGAACCCTTAGGCGGTTTACTTAGGCTGGCGTGTGGCAACCGCAATCGAGTCAGTACGTCATAAGTGTGGCATTGTCCATTGCCCTGGATCGGTTTTGTCACCGCATGTTCTTCAGCGTTATTATTGGTAGTGTAACAAAGTGCGTCATTGTTTGTTGCCTTCTTGTCACGTTTGTCATTGCGCGCCGTCAGCTGCTCTGCTTGGTGTTGTCATTCGCACGTGTCGCTGGTTGTTGTCTGCTGTTGGGTCGGGCTACTGGCCACTTGCTGAGCTTTGTTGCGATGTCTGCTATCAGCTATCACGTTTGTCATCAGCCCTGCAGCAGCCTGTCATATAGGATGGGTTCTGCGCAACAATCTAGCTACCCAAACCCTGTTGGGTTAAGCGGGATTTCTCTTGGGCACACAGTCGCCAAATATCGAAGCTCTAGATTTGCCCTATGCCAGGCATGTCAGTGTCAACATATCAAAGTTTGCTTCACGCTTCCATTTGCTGTAATCAAACCGGCTCAACAACCTCCCTCTCAGGTGGTCGATGAAACAAAGCAGCTGGCAACGTGGCACTGTTTTTGGAGACTGTTTCCCGTTTGAGTACAAGTTGGCCGAAGTAATATGACCGCGGAATCATGGAGCATAGGCAAGCAGCTGCTGAAACTGATGGGGATGATCTATGACTAGCTCCAGCACAATGTTTAAGTGAAAGATTTGTTTTGAATGACGCTTTTAAGAATCCACAGGAATCTATGAAGAAATATCCGATGCTAGGTTCTTCACCTCCAGGTCGTGGGCCGGGCCAGCCGCACAGGTTCTCTCATCTCCTGCGGAAACCAATGAAGCCATCCCAAGGGGCTAGCGTCACTCGAAACAGAAATGCTGACAGAGGCGAAAGTTCCGACAATTTAAAGCTTGGTGCAAAAAGTATGTTTCAAAATCAAAAACCCCAGAAAGGCACCTGCGACAGCGTAGAGCCCAGCATGTTTTTCCCGAAAGCATTGCGAAGGGTTCTTCCGGAAAATCTCTTGAACACTGACACTTCTACACTTACACTTGAACACTACATACACTTACACTTGAACACTTACACTTCTACAC